TGTCTGTAAACACTGGCTGTTTGACCAATGAGATCATGGCACTTTGGTGATTGACAGCAACTTTGACCAATCAAATCTCTCTGTCTGTAAATACAGGCAGTATGACCAGGAAGTTCATAAAGAAACCTAGTCAAAGCAGTCTATAGTCGGCAGGTAAATGTTTCGGTTGTGGCAGCGGAATAAAACACAGTTAAATCAGGTGTTTCGAACAAGCAGAAACATGTCGAAAACGAGCAGTGAGCGCGACGTGACCGACGGTAAGGAGAGCACGTCGATTCATTCAGACTCCATCGAGGAGGTCCATAACGTCCCGGTTCAGGTCCTGATCAGACCGTTTCCTCCGGTCCTGGACGAGCTGAAGGTCCAGAGTCTCATGGACACCATCAAGGTAAAGTCACAGGTATTTAATAATATTGAATCCTTTTAAATTGAACAAGGACATCATTTAAACATACATAATTTACAACAGATTTATAATAATCAATTACTGTTAGTGTAGAAAAAGCGTTTAAAATGTTAAGAAAAACTTTGAAAAGACTCAGAAGTCCCAAATAATGAAAAGAACAACTTGGAAGAGCTGTAAACGTCTTTACTACAACTGTCAGAAACACTTGATGTTTGCAGAATGACTTCATAGTTTCTGTTCCACTGCCTGGAAACTTCGCCCACTCTTTGTGGCTGCAGGTGTTTGTGTTTGCATGTTTGCTTGTCTGTTAGCAAAATATCTTGTGAGCTGCAGGATCAATTACCATTTGTCAGATTCAATCAATCATTCAACCTTTATTTAGACAGGTAAATTCCATTGAGCCTCGAGGACTCATTTACAAGAGAGACCTGATTTCAACAAAGAAAGATGACAACAGTGGACAACAGCAACAGCAATAAACAATTATAAAAAGTCATACTGCAGGTTTTTTTTTTACAAATAGGATGGCTAAAAGGAAAAAAGGAAAAAGGAAAAGGTAACAAAAAAAACAAACTAAAAACAGCTAGATTCCAAGACAAATGTAGAAAACTAAAAACAGGAACATGTCTGCGTTGGACCCTGCCAGGAGTCCAACAGATTCTTAAAGACACTTAGAGAGGTCAAGGTCGAGAGCTTCAAATCTTTTTGTAAGATATTCCAGGAAACAGGAGCGGAGTAGGAGAAGACCCTTTTGTCTAGTTCAGTCCTCATTGAGGGAACACTGCAGGTAATAATGTCCTGAGAGCGCACGCTGTAGCTGCACTCACGCAGAGACATGTAGGAGGAGATGTATGAAGGCAGCAGACCAAGAAGTGATTTAAAGATGAAAATGTACCAGTGGGAGAGTCTGCGTGAAGTTAATGATGTCCAGTTAACCAGTGAATACAGGGTGCAGTGGTGGGTACGATAATCACAGCCAGTTATGAATCTTAGTGCACCATGATAGACAGCATCCAACATCTGCAGCATCCAACATCTGCAGGGTTCTTGTAGGAGCGTTCATGTTAATAATGTCACCGTAATCAATGGAGGGAAGGAAAGTCACAGATACAATGCGTTTTCTAGCATTCAGAGTTAGACAGGATCTGTTTCTGAAAAAGAAACCCAGTTTAACTTTCAGTTTCTTTACCAAGTTTTCCACATGGAGCTTAAAAGAGAGATGTGAGTCGACCAAGATACCCAAATATTTATAGGAATCAACAAACTCAATGGGGACACCATTTGAGGATAAAATCGGAGGAAGAACTGCTGGGACCAACTTCCTGTTTGAAAAAAGCATCCCTTTGGTTTTGTCGGCATTTAGGACAAGTTTGAGGCGGAATAAATCTGTCTGGATGTTGTTGAATGCAGATTTCAAAAGCTGGAAAGCTTTAGTAACTGTTTTAGCTCGACAGTAAACAACTGTGTCATCAGCATAGAAATGTAAGGATGCATTAGGGATGTTTTTACCTACATTATGTATGTAGATTGTAAAGAGGGTGGGTCCTAAGACTGAGCCTTGTGGTACACCATTATTGACTGTTAAATAACTGGAGGAAGTACCATTATGTTGAACACATTGCCTCCGGTCTGAAAGATAGTTAGAGAACCAACCAATAGTGTGATCTGAGAAACTGATTTCTGAGAGTTTATGACACAAGATGTTATGATCCACAGTGTCAAAAGCTTTAGACAGGTCTAAGAAAAGTGCAGCACAATAATCCTTAACATCCAGTGCTTCAACAACATCATTAAGAACCTTCAGTGAAGCAGTGGTTGTGCTGTGTTGTTTCCTGAAACCAGATTGATGTGGAGGTAAGATGTTAAATGAGTCCAGGTAATTTTTGATTTGAGAGTTTATCAGTTTTTCTAGAACCTTGGCTAAAATGCAGAGTTTAGAGATTGGTCCATAGTTGTTCAGTGAGGTGGGATCACCTCCCTTCAGCAAAGGAAGAACAAAGGCTGTTTTCCAAGCGTCTGGGATGGAGTTTTGTCTTATGGAGAGATTGAAGATGTGGGTCACAGGGACTGTGATGATATGAGGATATTCAGGATATTCATATTAAATTCAGGATAAAATTCATATTGATTCAGGATATTCATATTAAACTGATCGTAGCAAAAACAAAACGCTTTAATTCGAATTATTTTTACAGAACTCATATTTATTCTAGCAGTAGCTGAGAGTCATCCCCAACGTGCACGCTGAAATCTTTTTTGCGGGTGACGTGCATTCCTTGGAAGAATGATCATGTTTTTATAGTTTTCCTACATGAATTATGATAATGAGTCATTCCCATTAGTTATAACTTCAGGACGTCATTTAGTCTCAATAATATAACAACGACTTTACTGTTATTTCCACTTTAAAACATGTTTTTGTTCGTTGACGTGCATACTTGGCTTCAAAGCTATTGTGTGCTCTAATTGGCGTTTTGTGTTTCCTTCCAGGAGACGGCAGACATCAACGTCGTTCCTCCCATTGACGTGCTCTGGATCAAAGGCAGAGAAGGAGGAAATTATTTCTACTCGTTCGGAGGCTGCCACAGGTTTGCAGCGTTCCAGAGGCTCAGCATGCCGACAGTCCCGGCTAAAATCATCAGGTCAAACATGGCAGACCTCAGAACCTACCTGGGAGCTTCAACACCTGATCTGCTCTGATGTACACTTTATTTTTTTATACATTTATTGTTTGGTTCAGGATGCAGACAGAAAATGATGGTTCTGGTGGCTGCAGTACACGGGATCAACCAGCAGGGGGCGATGCAATCTAAACAAACACAACTCACATGTGAAAGGGCTTTAAATATGTTTATACTTATTTAATGCTATCGATCAAAGATAGGTCATTAGTTTGAATCTCCACATGTAGGAGTATGAAATAGAATATAGAGACAATTAAATGATATTCCAGTTATTTTCTGTTAAACAATGAAGGTGTAATTATATGTTTACATTTGGATGTGACACTATGGTGGTTAAAATGTACAAAAAAAACCTCTTGCAGTAAACAGAATCACATATTTACTGTAAGATGACCACACTGTTTATTAGCTGTATGAAAATGTCCGTATATTTCTTAAACAGAAGCTATTTTTGTCTAAACTATTAATCCTGTATCTTTTTCTGTTTTTGTGCTTAAATATTTTATTCTTTTGGTTACAACAGCAAAGTTTGAAAAGAAGATGAGGAAGTCTAAAAAGCACCTAATCTGGAATAAAAGTATTTCTGCCAAAAAGCACTGAAGTCATTTTTTGTTTGAGGTAAATAATGCTCTGTTTTTAGGTGTTCAGTCCAATTTGATGGGATGTTCCACACATCTGAAACTTGAAGGACACTATTTATAAGACAGTTCTTGGTGGCAGGCCTCAGACTGATGACGTCTTCGGAATGAAAGACAAAATGTTTCTCCCAAAAAGAAACTGTCCAGATGACATGATTTAACCATTTTTGTGATTCTCTTAAAGAACTCAGATGGTCCAAGAAAATGTTGAGTTGTTCAGAATGATCAATCTACAGTTTTTAATCTATGAGAAAAAAAAGAAGCAATTTTTATCAAATTCTGTTCATTTTATACAAAAACTCAACAAAACAGACAAAAAAAACAAATTTTCCCATATAAAGTGGAATTAATGTATTTCACCTGAAGAATGAATCGTTAGTTTAGAAAAACATTCTCTCTTGCCTTGACGTCCTTTTCAGGGACACCACCAAGTCATTGGTTCAGGTATGTTGACGACACCTGGGTTAAAATCAAATCTCAGGAAGTCCAACATTTTACTGACCACATCAACTCTGTGGATAAATACATCAAGTTCACACGAGAAGATGTAAAAAATGGCAGGTTGGCTTTCTTGGACTGTGAGGTCTCAGTCTCTGATAGAGGACATTTGCAAACTGAGGTGTACCACAAACCCACACACACAGACCAGTATTTGCAGTTTGACTCCCATCACCCTTTGGAGCACAAGTTAGGAGTCATCAGGACTCTGTACCACAGAGCAGACAGCGTCCCCACTAACTCAGGAGCCAGGCAGAAGGAGAAATCCCACACAAGACAGGCTCTAGAGCAATGTGGATATCCTAACTGGGCCTTCCTGAAAGCAGAGAAGAAACCCAAACAGGACTCCAGTCAGCCAACAGGGGAAAAGGAGGAACCCAGACCCAGACCAGTGGTCATTCCATATGTTGAGGGAGTATCAGAGAAACTGAGACGTTTATTTTCTAAACATAACGTCCCAGTGGCTTTTAAACCCCAAAATACATTACGGCAAAGACTGGTTCATCCCAAAGATCCAGTCCCCCGGCACAAACAGAGCAATGTTGTGTATGTTGTTCAGTGTCAGGAGGGTGATCAGTCTTACATCGGGGAAACTAAATAGCCACTGGCCAAAAGGATGGCCCAGCACAGAAGATCAACATCATCAGGCCAGAATTCTGCGGTCTACACTCATCTCCAGGCCAGCGGTCACTCTTTCAGGGATGAAGATGTTCACATCCTGGACAGAGAGGAACGATGGTTTGAGAAAGGAGTAAAGGAGGCCATCTTTGTGAAAAGAAATCGTCCATAATTAAACAGGGGTGGAGGCCTCCGGGTTCAACTGTCCCCCTCTTACAATGCTGTGATTGCTAGTATCACTCAGCCCCCTGTGAATAGTAAACAGCCATCAGTGTGCTAATGATCAATGCTTAATTTCAAGGTTCTTTATTGTCATTCACATCACATGTGGTACATGAGATCGAACAAAATTGTGTACACAGGGTCCCAGTTACTTTCAACAATAGCAAAAATATAAATTGTAAAAGAAACGGTGATAAGGATCTAAGATATAAACTAAGAAATACGCTAAACATTAATAGTGCAAAACAATACATCGAGCAACAGCAACACGAACATGAGTCTGTGCGAGCAGATGAGGACGAATGAATGCAGCAGCATGAAATAGATCAGCAGCATAAGATCAGAAACATGGATAATCAGCAGCACATATCAACAATCAAATGGCATTACAGTGATTTTTTTCACAGTGATTATTCTGGTTAGAGATTCATGAGTCTAACAGCCGCAGGGTAGAAGCTGTTCCTCAGTCTAGTGGTTCTTCACTTAATGCTCCTCAACCTCCTTCCTGAGGGGAGCGGGGGGAAAAGTGTGTGTGCTGGATGAGTGGGGTCCTTCATGATGCAGGTGGCCCTCTTCCTGTATCTAGAGGTGTAGATGTCTGTGATGGTGGGGAGACTGACTCCGACATCTTCTGTGCAGCCTTCACCACTCTCTGCAAAGCTTTTCTTTCTGCAGCTGTGCAGCCTCCATGCCACATGTTGATGCTGGAGCACAGGATGCTCTCCACTGCACACCTGTAGAAGGAGGTGAGGACTGAGCTTCCCAGACCAGCTCGTCTCAGCCGTCTGAGGAAGTAGAGTCTCTGATGAGCTTTCTTGATCAGGCTGGTGGTGTTGTTGCTCCAGATGAGGTTGTCAATCAGGTGTACACCCAAGTACTTGTAGCTGGAGACCACTTCCACCACAGATCCTCTTATGTTCAGGGGGGTGGAGTGTAGGTGTGTTTGTTTCGTCTGAAGTCCACGACCATCTCCTTTGTCTTCTTCACAGCGATGTGAAGGTGATTTTCTTTGCACAAGCTCTCCAGATGTTCCACCTCCTGCCTGTAGCTGGATTCATCATTGTTTGTGATGCATCCCACCACCGCTGTATCATCTGCAAACTTTACAATGTGACAGCCTGGATGGGTAGGTGCCGGAGAATTTGTGCCGGATCCTGCAGGAACAAGATCTGGGAACTCTTATTTTGACAGGATGTGTTCTGGTAACTGTTTGCTTGGGTCCGGCAACTCTCAAACTTACTAATAATAAAGTTATAAACAATATGGCTGCCTTGTTGTTTGGGGAACCATGCTTGAACCGTGTTGCTCCCTTCTACTGCTGAGATGATAAATAATAACTCCAAAACCTTTGCTGCTGTTTTATGATGCTCTGGATGCTCGTCACCACAGCACGCATGAGACAAAGTGTATAAACTCAAAGCGAGAGTGATACCTGCCCCCTCTCTCTTTCGCATTGGCAAAATGTTTTAGTTTTATTGTTTGTCAAAGCCCAATTTGAACTTTTCCTGCTATGTGCGTTCTGGCATCAATCAGTTTACAAATTAAGCCCTGCTAACGATCAATTGTTAGGCTGATGCTCCTCCTTGATCACGTGAACAGACAGTTCTGCCTGTCAATAACAAACTGGTTGATCCACTATGAGAATTTCTATTTATAGGACTGAGTTTGTTGCAGCTCCTCAGACTGAAAAAGTCTTTTGGATAAAAGACGAAACGTTTCAACAAGAAGAATCCATCCAGAGGATCTGACTTTACTCTGGTAGGCTCTTATATCTTGTTTTAAAGAGTGAATTGTTGTTTCTGAGCAGAATGTGGCGTTTTCAGCAGAAGAACCGCTCTTATATCTTGTTTCTTGTTGTTTCTGACCTTGACTTTGGCTCCACGCATTAAATGAGGTCAGGCAGCAGTTCCTTGTCTCTGCCGTGGAGGAAGGAACTGCAGTTTTACAGAATATTTTAGGTCGAATATAGACGAGGCCTTTCACAATGCGAGCTCGACAATCTCCCATTGTGGCCATCGAGGAAATGAAGGGCGACCCGGGGCAGCGTTTACCGCCCGGCCCCTGCAGAACTCTAAAGTTCTGCTCTGAATCGTGGCGTGTGAGAAGACTTCCTGTGGCTCTCTGACTGTCTGGAAGTAACCGTATCCTCAAAGAGGTCCTGACACGCAACACCGGCGTGAAAAAACACCAAGCACCTGTTGCTTCTAGAGCAACAACATTTTATCTGTGAAGGTTTGAACCAATCAGGAGTCAGGAGGAGGAACGTTTCTTTTAGATTTAACAGTTGTTTTACTGAAGGAGCCTGTTCCTCACTTTGTCTTTAATCAGACTCTGTTCACCTAAAAATTTCAATTAGTGTGACCTTAGTTTTTCATCCCCCCCAGATTAAAAGGTAACATTTGTAAAAAGGAAGTGACTAATTTTAAATTTACAATCCATATAAGTAATGTAGGTCAAAATATTCCTGACGCCTCCTTACATTTCTATGCTGATGATACAGTTGTTTATTGTTGAGCTCACATGGCCAAGATTTTCCAGCTTATATGGCATTTGACATCCTTAGTCAGACTTATTCCATTTCAAACTGGTGCTAAATACTGATAAAAGCAAAGAGATGTTGTTTTCAAATAGAAAGTTGGTGCTAGCAAATCTTCCTCCTATCTCATCCATGTATGATGTTCTTAATGAGTTTGTGGATTCTTTCAAATACTTGAGAATTTTAATTGATCACATCTCTCTTTTAAACTAGGCTCTCACACTGGTTCATTTTCATCTTTAAATCACTCCTTGCTCTGTTGCTTTCATATATCTCCTCCTACATGTCACGTCATCAGTGCAGTTACAGCGTGCGCTCTCGAGACATCATTACCTGCAGCGTCCCCGCAGTGTCGACTGAATTCAGCAAAAAGGCTTTTTCTTACTCTGCTCCTGTAACCTGGAAGACCTTGCAAGAACGTCTGAAGCTGATTTTATTTCTTTAAGGGATTAATAACATTTGATAAGTTCATTAGCAAATGTTTTTGTTTTTAATATTTTACCTTGTTCTTTAAGACACCTAGATTTTATGTTTTATAACACTATTTTTAATTGCATTTTATTGTTGTCTGTACTTTATACACTGCCTGGCCAAAAAAAA